TGTCTTCCTTATTAACTCACACTGCTGCATTTGGACTACTCACTGGCCTTCTAGCTTCTACTACTTGCATGTGCCTCTCATTTAGATAAGATGCCAACTTCTGTGTTGAGCTGCCCAGAATTCACAATGGTGATCATCACTTGTGATGAGAATGGGATCTATAGATCAGATCCAGATCTGTCACTTGGACGCAGCAGAATCCCAGCAGTGATAGGGATTAGGGAAAAATCCCTCGGAATCTAGATGCTGGTGATGGAGATGAAGATGGAGGCTTGGATGGAGCCTGATATGGGAGAGGGGAGGAAGCTGGTTGCATGAAGGCATCTGGACAGGAAAATGAAAAATCCGCAGTGATATTTAAAGTACATGGAGTAGCGGCTGATTGGCCTGAAGAAGGCGGGCAGAAAGACAATTGGACTTGTGATCGTATGTGTAAGCTTCATTTAGACAAGTTCATGTTTTTTAAATTTTGTAGGCAAAGTCCTGAAACTTCACTCTTGACACTGCTACTCGTCTAAAATGATGTCTGATTGGTCGAAGTGCCTCTTGAAAACAGAGCCCAGAGGAGGTGCAGGAGTGTAGTTCCCTCTTAGACCACTTGAATTACAACGTGCCAAAAGGTTATCGTGGATTTTTGTCAACTGACATGAAAACTATATCACCTGCGCTAGTATCAATTATTTAATTCCTCTGCTAAGCTAATTCTGAGCTGCAGGTACATTTTGAGTACCTCCACACTATCCAAAAGCTATCAGCCCGGTTTTTAGGAAACTTCATGGAGTAGTGGGGCTAAAGGAAGAGATAATTGACTTCAGAACCACATAAAGAGACATGGATAAAGAGGTGGGATTCATTTGTCTAGATGTCAGCTTGGCACTCTCACATTCAGGTACAGACGAGACCACCAAGACTAATTTAAAGGAGGTGGCTTTAGTTGTACTTCCAAATGAACTCCATAGTGGGAGCATGATCCAGCTCAGAGGCTAAGAGGTGTGTGCTGACAGTCTGAACAAACACGCCTTCCCATTGCCAAGCACACTTTGCATTCAGGGAGAATGCAGTGTGCACAGTTTTTAGCAAACTGAAGTGAGGGAAACAGATATATAAATACGAATGTTAGGAGTAAATGTGTTATCTATGCTTCTTCCCCAGACACATGTGCTCAGTAAGCGGACTGAATGTTCTGGTGTGGTTTGCAGTGACGCACTTTGGTCTGCTTGGAGAGTTCCCTGTTTGACCAGAAACCAAATATTGGGGAAAAGCTGCAATTTATGCAAACTCATCGACTAAAGAGCAGTGAACTAATGTTACGAGTCCTAGGACTAGTTGTACCAAAGTAACAAGTGGTTGGTTGGTTATAAACATGACTTATAAACCCTGTTATAAATTTCCACATGTTCCTTTGTTCTAGTGTCCAGCGTTGGCTATACTTACTTTATGTCAACAACAGACGTAACTCGTGCTCAGTTTCAAACTGAGATTCATTCAGGAGGCTTCACTTTCAACCAGTTAATATTTCAGGTATTTCACAGCATAAATCACAGCCTCAGAGTTACTTTTAAATAACTATGACTGTTCTCATTTGAGCTCACAACATCAAATGAATTACAAACTAAAAAAACCTCCAGCGTCACACTTTAAACCTTAACCTAGTCACAGCGTTAACACTATCAGCACTGTGCCATATGCCAAGGGTTCAGCGTCCCAGTACTGAAGATAAATACACGCAATCACACACACAGATTATCGGTACATTATGAAGCTTAAAAAAGCGTTGTTTGTAACATAGCTCCTGCCTTTTTTTTTCTTAAGATGCCATGGCAACAGACTAAACTAAGATAAACAGCCGTGTCCCTAAAAAGACTCATTACACTAGTGCTAAAAGGTTGTGTGTGTGTGTCTATGTGTGTGTCTGTGTCTGTGTGTGTGTGTGTGTGTGGTTTCCTGGTATACCAACCTGAAAAACACACAGGAATGAAGACATGAACCACTTATTCATATGGAGTGGGCAGGGTCCCTACCTTAGGAAACCCAGATGCAATACACCAAAGCACTTTGGCTCCAATTTAATTAGTTTCTCTCTCCATTTCTGTCATGAAGTAAAAATAATAACCTTCTTTTTGCACAACAGGTATAATTATCCCACTGTGCCTCCCTTTTTCCTAATACTGAGATATTTTGCTTGTTATGAGGTGGAAAAACTAAAAATTAATATAAAGCTTAAAACCACAACATGTGAACAATTTGGGGAATAAACAGAAATAAAAATGTCTTAGCATTTTGTGTGCGCGCAAACAGGATGCAAGTGTGAAAACACCCGAGTGTGTCCACACAGTTTAAGCAGGAGCAGAGGGCACTAAGAAAAAGAAATGGCTGTGATATTATTGTCTGGAGTTTGCAGACATGCACACAAACAGCAAAGGGAGGGGTCACATATGAGGAAGTCACACTTCTGAGTTCTTCTGCGTGACCCCCCCCCCACACACACACACACACACACACACACACATGCATGCACTAAATTCTTATTTTCGTGCCATTATGCACACTCGATGTTGCAAATCATCCGAACATTATTTATAACTTTACATTTTATTTGTTTTTTTTTCCTTTTTTGTAAATTTGCAAATTTTTAAATAGTTTATGCTCTAAAACGTTTACTTAAAACAATATCATCATGAATGTTCTTGGATTTGACTGTAAAATCTTGGGTTCCAGACACATGCATGCTTATCGCTGTATTTCTTGTTATTCCAAATATTGTTATGAAACTCAAAAATCCAGAATAGGTCTGTCTGCAGTCCAGGCGTTGTTGTGGGCAGTGTTTCCTTAATGCAGTGGAGAGATGTGGCTTGGATCAGCAGAGTCACATTGCAATAAACAGAAATGGAGGTTGCTGTGAACAAACAAAACAAAAATCAGCTGCTGTGGGAAATGAACTTCATGTGATCGTTCTTGGCAAGCTGAACCCAGAAAAGGGAACCTGTCAGAGGTCTGAATGTGTTAGCTTTAAATCTGGTTTCAGGTGGAAAAACCAATTGTTTACCACACCACATGGTTTTGGCCCAATGCTACACCCTACTAGGGAAGACAGCAGTGCTGTGAAGCTGAGAAGTTGTTGTCTGGTTTGTGACCACTTGCAGTCAGTTGCTTTGTTCACACAGTGTCTGAGAGAGATTGCAGTTGGTCTGGATCATGAATATTTGGAGACAGGTTGCATCCTGTTGCAAGTTTTAAGGAGATTGTTTTTACACTTGCATGACTGAGACATAACTCAATAATTCAAACCCTAATTATTACAAAATCGAACACAAATGTTGTATATCTAAAAGGTGTAATAGTCTGGATGGAAACAGACAGGTCAACTTGAGTTGTTGGGAGACTGTTTGAAGTTATTAGGTGATATTTTGTGGAGAAGAATATAATAAAACAAGCCTGCCTTGACATTTCTTCTTTCTATTATAATCATCTGAATAATTCTGTGTCTGTTATTACAAAACTGTGTAAATACGCAGGAAGTGACTGATTTTCAGTATTAATTTTAAACTTTGAGGTTCATTTAATCGGCTGATCCTTGTCCACTGTCAGATAATCGGTGCATGGACCGGCACTTCCTTCCCACTCGTGCTAAGCAGCTGGTGGCCCTCGCCAGTTTCCCTGGAGCTGGCAACACCTGGGCTCGCCACCTTATAGAGCTCGCCACTGGCTTCTACACCGGCAGCTATTACTTTGATGGCTCCCTGTACAATAAAGGTATGCCTCGGCATGTTTTTGACACGATTCACAGACGCTCAGCCATGAATGCACCACTGTGGATGCTATAAAGTCACTCTGGGCTGTTTCACAGGATTTAAAGGGGAGCGCGACCACTGGCGGAGTGGGAGGACAATATGCATTAAGACACATGAGAGCGGCAGGAAAGAAATCGAAGCCTTCGACTCCAGCATCCTCATGATACGAAACCCCTACAAAGCCTTGATGGCAGAATTTAACCGGAAATATGGTGGACATATTGGATTTGCCTCCCAGGCCCACTGGAGAGGGAAAGGTAAGCTGCTGAAATCTCTGGATCAGTGAATATTATGTTGCATGGAAGTCTCTCCGTCATCGTACTATGAAGAAAATGAAAATAAAAGACTTCATTAAACTGAGGCACTGAGGGCATATTTCATTTTTTTGTACTGATAACATTGTGGTGAACAAAGTTTGAGTAAAGCTTCACAATAAGTAGAAACTGAAACACTGCAAAATGAGAGAAAAACAAAAGAACTGATAAACTGTGATATAGAAGAGCAAAGGATTGAGGAAATGCAATCAAACTCTGGCCTTTTTTAGCGGTTTGACCTGCACCAGTGTGGCTGAGCGCAACATTTTGTCTTTTGAAAATCATTTACACCATTGAGCCACAGCATCAGCAGTCAGATAAATTAGAAATGTTTATGACAAGTCTGATTCAGATCTTCATTCTAGGTTTAAATTGGGAAATATATGTATACATGATCTGAATACTTAGCAGTTTACTTTGTTTTACTTTGTTTCCTTTTTATGCTGTTAGCTGCAGATGTTATCAGTCAGAAAACGAATATGTTTTTTAAATACACAGTTTAAAAAGCTGGTGAAATGTCTTCCATCCAGGGTGCAGTGTGAGCCACAGTTTAATTCCTCTTTTGTCCACTTGATGCTTAAAATAATGGATTAAGTTTATTTTTCATTAATAACTATGTCTAAAATATAGGTGACAGCTTGCTAAGATGTCTTTATATTTCAGGCAAATTTTGCTCTTCCTATTGCATTCTTCATGTCTTAGTAACCGTGGCAACCGCTTTTGTCTCGTCCCTGTATCGTCTGTCTGACTTTATGCGAGGTTTCATCGATTTTTTTCCCCAGAGGCTGGAGAGTTGCCGACCCAGCAGTTGTCTCTCTTTGTGGAAACATCAGCACATTTGGCCTGCCATTTCCAATGAGTGTTTATTCCCTCTGTTGTTTGGAAAATGATGCGGTGACATCACTAAAGAGAAAGGCTTTCTGACAGCTGCCACTTCGAATAGACGGAGAGCGGGTCAGCGTGACATTGTGCGCAGGGCCCCACATGTACGATTTGATGCATTCACCTCCGCAGAGGGAGACTGTGGGGCACAGATGATGTTACAGACACTGATGCCTTCCAGCGTGGCCCCATAATGTCAGCTCAGGGGCAAGTGCAACTTATTTTGGAGGTCATGCCATTTTAGAAAGCACAGTGAGTTATTTTCCACTGTTATCTTGTAGATTTAGCGGCTATACAGATGCCTTTTTTGGGGTAATCTGTCAAAAAGATACTGTCTGTGTCTTCACTCTGAAATGAGCAGAACAGGATTTTGGAGAAAAAGTTAAAATACTTTGATGTTTTTTATTGTTCTTGGCATTTCTGCACTGCTGGTTGTGTTTTTGGGTGAAATTTCTGATATTCTGTCCACTCTGGCACTAAAGTTGCCTCTATTATTGGTTTCTGAGACATTGCAAACTCAGCAGACTTTAAACTTTATCGATACCCTCTCCCAGCAGTAAAGATTTGTCCTTATGCAGCACAGCTCCTGCCAGCTCCCACTTTTTATGGGCCACTAGATGAAGCTGAAAGAAAAGGTTTTCTCACAGCAACTCTGCAGTTTGAATGACAACCAAAAATGTCCGGACATTTCAGAAATTACTTAATGTGCCCTCCCTGCCTCTGGAGTTGAATGACATCAGTGCTAACACAGCTAACACAGCTCTCACTTCCTCTTAACTCTGAGCCCACGCTGACACTTTGACTTTTTTGTACCGAAATTCATTTTACCGAGAACTTAAATTTTATTTGAACAGCACATTATTTATTTACATGCACTTAGCAATATAAGCTCTTTGACAATTATGACTTAATAACCTTTGGTAACCGCTTCTTCGTCTAAGCTGAAATCTCAAAGTGCAAATTTTCTGGTGTTAATGGAGACGGCTCAGTTCTGTTATTTCTTTTTTATTATCTTTCTTTCACTTACACTTTTGGTTTACAATTGTTTCATCATTGTCAAGCAAAAGCCTTGAGCCAGCCTTTCTGGTGTTTTTTGAAGTGCTCTTGAGCACTTTGAAGTGGCTTTCTGAAGGTCTTTCAAGGTTTTGCTTTGGAAATTGGCTGCCCCGTCACTTCTTTTTAATTGCAGTCTGCTATAGCAGTGCTTTTTTGTATGTTGACCTATGAGTCATTCAAGCATAAAGGCAACCGACTCAAAGGATGAACCAGTGTGTGTCAACACATAACAGACAAACTTAGCAAAGAACCAATTTTAAATTGTATCTTTAGGCACTTTGTACTAGCATGCTGGAAAAAAAATTCATACGTTGTGAATGAAAAATGCCAAACATAACGCAGTTAATTAGGACAAAATAGTATTTTTGCAAGAGCAAAGAGCTATTAGCCAAAACTTGGTATATCGCAGCATGGTGTGCCGTGTGTCTTTTAAAAAAAAAAAAGATTAGTAAATTGAAGAAGTGGAGGACAAAAGAAGAAGTGTCAGGCCTGAAAAAACTACAGCTGATAAACAATATCTGAAAGTCATTTTCTTAAAGATAGGAAAAAAATCCAACAAAGACCTGACACAGGACGCCAGAGGTGATCTATCTGCTGTTCCCAGGGTGGCTGTAGATGTTCTTCCTGCTGTATTTCAGTTTGTACTGTAAAATGCCCTTTAGCTTGTGCACTGGTACCCAAAACCCTCATTTATTTATGTTCTGTGGCCTCTTTGTCCTGCAGAGTGGCCCGAGTTTGTCAAGAACTATGCCCCTTGGTGGGCGTCCCACACGCTGGACTGGCTGCATTATGGGAGGAACGTCCACGTGGTCCACTTTGAGGATCTGAAGAGGGACCTGTTCACCAAGCTCAAAGGAATGGTCGAGTTTCTGGGTTTGAAGGTTTCTGAGGATCGCCTGCTCTGCGTCGAGGGCCAGAAGGACGGGAACTTCAAGCGGTCGGGGCTACGTAAGCTCGAGTACGACCCGTATACTCCTGAAATGCGTTCAAACATCAATGAACTGATCAGAACAGTAGACGCTGCTTTGAAGAAAAGAAACATGTCTGGGGTTCCAGAGGAATATATGCCAAGATGATAAATGTGAAGACCTCTGTTTTCCTTTTTATTTTGTTAGTTTTCCTTTTTATTTCTGCACATCTTGTAGAATTTCATGAGATAAATAGATTTTTTATTGCGTTAGATGTCTATTAAGTCATGTAGATGGACACCTATTTCATTTTTTCAGTCATCTGTTTCCTTTTAAAACGAAACTAAATCAGCTTCATGCATTCATGGAGTAGACGTGACAGTTTTAGCAGGCAAGGTTTGTGTTTCTCTCATTTGCTGAATGAAAAGCACTCCTTATCCTGCTCTATGCACATGTGCTGTGTAGGCATGTGCACATGCCTTAACACAAAGAAGCTACAGTAGCTGTGACTACAGAGGGGCTCATCTGACTGTGCTGACAAAAGATACAATACAACACTGCAAAGTGTGTTCAGTGAGCTTATTTTGTGCAAGTCAAAACATTAATTTTTCTGCTGCTATTACAGTTACAGAACTATTTTATATAAGAAGCTCACTGAAAGCTGTATCTCTTTGTTAGGGGGGAAAATGCAATATGCAGGGTATAACTACCTGATGGTGATGATACTGTGTGTTTCCAAGATTTTGTAAGGTGTTTAATTCACTGTATGTACGAGAAATCAGAAGGTTATTCAAGAAGCTGAGTTATCCCTTTCGAAGAGACTGACTCGAGGAGAGAAGAGGATTAATGTCTGCGGCATTTATTTATCTCCCGTGAGCAGCGCACACGTTGATTCATTTGGCTGTGAATATGTTTTCTTAACACTGGACTCGATGCAGAAATCCAAAAAGCACTTCGGTGTGCAACACCTTCCCCAAAGATCACTGAGGAATTAGGCATTACACTCGTGTAATAGACTGGAGTTTACCTTATAAGTAGTGACTGTTGTAGAGGTTTATTTATGAGAGCTAATCATACTGAATGTGAAAACTGTCTTTTTTCTTTCTTTTTTTACTGCTTTGTTGTAAAAAAAGCTTTGAAACCGTTAAAGCTCGTAATCATTTTCCTATTCCTTGTTAAAAAACAAAAAAACTCCAGCAAACCTTTGTGCAGCACGTCTTAAAACGGCACTCGATCTCCTCTGCCGCTTAAACACAAACAAATACACAGATTGATAAATCCAAGAATAAAAAAACAACAACAGCACCGGTGATTGAGAGCCAGACAGCATTAACTGACTTCCATTTTCAGTATAATAAAACTATATTTTTATAGTGTATGCTGACACGTTCAAAATATTTGTATTGCAACAGGCAAACGGGAGAGGTTGTTTCTATTTTTAACACATGCTTTAAACTTTATTGGCTCTTTGCATTTATTGACAAGCCGGCACTTATTGAACAGGTGTCACATTTGAATGTATTTTCTATGGAATGAATGTAATGTAATATGGCCCAATAAATGAGTGAATCCAAGGAGTGACTCGTGACTGAATTTTTAGAAATCTGCTACGATCTGTAGTAGTCTTAAACATTTTTATTAATATATCACATACCATATCACAATAGCGATCTGCCTGTGACTACAGGTAAGAGAAAAAGTGTTTTCCTGCTGTGACCCTTAGGCGCTCTGTAGTTTTATGGTTCAGTGTGCACAACAAGGCTTTCCTGTAAACCTCTGAGAGCGCAGCCAAGAGAAAAACAAGACTAAGCATTGACAAGCGTTCTGCTTTGTTACCTAAAGCTATAAATACTAATGTCATGTGCTGCTAACATGCACGTGCTAATTTCTTTTAGCAGGTTAAATATCAAAACATGTATATGAAAGACAAACATTGGAGACAGATTTGCCTTCAGAAGTGCTCAACAAGGGGCTGGAAATATTCTTTAAAGATTTCGGTCCATATTAGCATCACACTGCACATCCATGATGTGAATCTCCGGCTCCACCTTATCTCTATTGGTTTGAGAGCTGGTGACTGTGGAGGCCAGCACAGTAAACTCGCTGTGATGCTTAAGAAACCTGTTCGAGATGGCTTGGGTTTTGCGGTGTGGTGTGTTATCCTGCTGGAAGTAGGATAGAAGATGAGTACACTGTGGTCATAAAGGGATGGACATGCTCAGTGACAACATTCAGGAAGGCTGTGGTGATGAAACAATGCTCAGTTCGTCCAAAGTGTGCCAGGAAAGTATCCCCCACACCATTACACCACCAGCAGCCTCAACTATTGATAAAGGATGGGATGCCAGTTTCTAAGGAAGAGCAGCTGGTTTGCACAATGTCTACATGCATAAATGCGCATTAATGAGCAGTTGAACAGACCTACCTAATGATGTGGCCAGTGAGGATGCAATAACATTCAAACTGTGTTTATAAACTAAAATAGTACAAAATGAATATAATACAAGTGAAAACTCATTTAGCTCATTTAGAATGTGAAACCAGAAACACATCTAAAGAAAGTTTGAACAGAGACATTTTTTTCTCTCTTTTTAGCAACACTCTGTACATGTTAGAGAACTGAGAGAACAACCTGCTGCAACATAGAAAGCAAACAGTTTCCCAATTCTTGCTTGATCCAGGAATGCACCTTGCAAACCAACCTTCTCTCTTTCTTTTTTTTTTTCTAGCAGGAAAGAGGGTTATGTAAAAATGTAGGTTATTCTTAGGAGGATAAACAGTCTTATTTTAAACTTTGCTGTAGTAAAAGTGTGTTGCTATGTATGTTTCTCCTGTAGAGTTGTGTCTTTTCACTCTGTGAGGATTCATTCTCCACCATGAATGTAGTTTGTAGCACTTCCAGGGCTTCATTTTTTGTCCTTATAGAGGTTGCCGCCTGTGTTTACCGTGTTCACCACCTTATAATAACATGACAGCACGTCTATTTCGGCCTTAGCAGGGCCTCCTGTGATTCTGACCCTGTAATTTGGTGATTTAGTCCTTTTTGACTTCCTTTTCTGTTTAATGATCAGCTCCTGGGTCTTGTTGTGTTTCCTTTCTTTTAAAGATGATAGCAATCTAACCATCTCTTTCAGTTTAATTAGTAATAAAAACATTAATAAAAACCTTTGATTTAACTATTTTTCCTTTCATTTCTTTTTTTCAACTCGAATGCTTTTTGTTACTTTTCCAGATCCCTTGGACCTTTTAGTGAAACATAATTAGCAGTAAATATTGAGTCTGACTAGCAAAGTTTTGGACAAAATAAAAATCAAACAAAATGCAGAGTTTGAGTATTTTTTAAATGAGTTTGAGAACTAACTCAATTATCTTTAAATAATTGTACAAAAAAAATTTAATGGCAGCTTCTAGAGGTCCAAGATGAAAATTCTTTATCTTTTGGCTGTGCCCTTTCGCCCTTTCTCCATCTCACCTACACTGCACTACACCACTACATCCATGAATTTTCTCCATGGTGCCCTTTTACTCCGGCCTGACAGCTCCACATTCAACATCCTTTGTCCTATATATATCCACTATCCCCCCTCATTTACCCAGGCTTGGGACCAGCACTAGGAGTACCCTGGCCTGTTGCCCTCGGTGGTTGGGTTGTCCAAGAGGAAAAGTGTGTGGAATGAAAAAGTCATGAGAATTTACCTGAGCCTTGTGGATATCTGTCAAAATGTTGACCTCCTACTGGCTGGAGGAAAATTGAAGGGATTACCAAAGATATCAGGATTCATCCTCTGTGACCTCTGCCAGACGGATGTAAGCGAGATATTTCTTGTCTTGTCTTTCTCTTCCCAACCAAACAGCATTTATACTACAGCTGTCTAGTTTTGGGAGAAAGGCATCACAAAACGCATTATATGTTTCTGAAATGCTGTAATATAATAGATTACTGTACAGTTACAACTATCAGATAGTCAACTACAGCTAGTTATCTGGATGATCTGTGATTAGAGAGAAAGCAAGCTGCAAGCAAGCTCCAATGAGCTAATGTCAGTTGTGCTGGGAAGAAATAGACCACCCTGCATCTTTCCATGAGTGGAGATGTTAACTATACTTTTATTTTTTCTGCACCAAAGAGAAATAACATGACGGTAAAGACCAAACTGTATCCAGGACAGAAACATCTATCCAGTGCCGCTGAAATGACTCTTTGAAGCATCTGCACAGACACTAACACAAAGCTAGAAGGCAAGAACCCAGATGTTAAAGCTGAGTGTAAGCCAACCGCAGCCCGGCAGCTTGAGCCTGATCTTCATCATGTAACCAAAGCAGGGATGACATGCAGGCTTGTAATATCGTAGCCTCTGTTCCCATACACCAGCTACATGTTTGCTCCTCACACTGTCTACTGAAGATCTGGGACTAGCTCTTTTGACTTGGGTTTCTTAAGCTAGTGATGGTTGATGGACTTGTCTTTACCTTGCAGGTGTTAATGTTGTGTCTCTGCTGCTTATGACTAGAAATTTGTCAATAAATGACTTTGGTTTGAATTGTTTAAATAAATTCTGATGCCTTTTGCCATGTTTCCTGAGGCAATATTCCAGAAACTGGCAGTCTTGTCACTATATTATTATTATTATTATTATTATTATTATTATTATTATTGTTATTATTCTTGCATGTTTCACTACGTGTTTTAGGTAGTGGCTGCTGTGGGAACTGGTGCAGTGAAGCTGCATCCTCAGCACTGAAGCTAAATAAGAGCTGTATAAAGTGTACATTGGTTGTGCCAGGGAGATAGCTGAGGTTCCTGGACATTACTTTAGCCACCACACTCAGACCAGACACTGTCCAGTTATCCAGAAGGTTGAAAGAAGTTAGTCTGTTATACTGGAGCTGACAGTCCCGTGGGAAGACCAGTTAGAGTACAGTAAGCTCAGGAAAGAAAGATGTGGACCTAGTTGCCAGCTGTCAGAGGCAGAGGTGGAAGGTGTGGGTGAGAGGGGTCTTTGCAGGTCAGTCTCTACACTGAGTCATACTGCTGTTGGGGATATGGAGACTCCAAATGAGTAAAACTGTCAAAAAATCTTGGAAGCAGCATAGAAGCTGGCTTTGGCTGAAGAAGGGTGATACATATCAGAGGATCCCTGGATTCAAGCCGGGGCCTGGCATACCCCGGCTGGGTCATCTGGGAAAGGCTGTCTGTAACAGCTGATAGGCCAGGGTAGATCACTGAAGATATGTCTAGCATGCAGCAAAAGGTGTATGCTTGAACAACAAAAATAATTAATTAAATAAATAAATAAAATAAATGATCCTGAACTCCAAAAGCAGAATCATAATCAAAAAAGCATACAAGCTAGATGCCAGAGAAGAAAGACGCATTAAACATCAATGATAAAACTGTATAGTGACATATATTTTCTGTAAAACACTAAAGACAACACTGCATCTGTGCCTCATTTTTTTTCACATCACCCACAAACATTTCCTGGAGAAACCAATGATGTTCCTACACCAAGCCACAGCTTGGTGTCAAGCTACATTTACACATACGCCGTCTGACAGCACCTTAGTCACTTTTATGAAAACCACATTTGCAAAATATCTTGATGATCACAGCTTCATGAGATTTACAGGCATAGCAAAGGCATCATATAGTCATTTAATAGTTAATAACAGGTTAATGACAGGCTGAGTGTGTGGTGGCTATCAATGATATATCAAAAAAGTGTGTCCCTATTGTGGTCTGTAGCCTGATGTTTGTATTAACTTGTAATTATGTTACCATGCATTTCAGGCCACGGAGTAACCAAAAAGTCACGTAATCAGCAGTAATTGCACATGACACATTGCTTAGTTTTTGAGTGATGACCCTAATACTTACTTATGGTTTTTGTCAGGTTTGCCAGCATTTCCTCCAGCATGATCTAGATCACATTTAAAGTCATAGTAGAATAGTTACCAGTAACTATGTGTGTTGGTTTTAAAACAGGACTGATTGTGGTGACTGTAAACAGAAACCATCCAGTGGCTTCTGACACAGTTTGTAGAACTCCTGACTTTATGCAAACTCTTTCACATTTATACGTGGGCAGGTTACAAACACAGTTCAGCTTTAAAGGTTAAATCTCTGACCAACATTTCATTGTTACTCATTGACAGGGTTTCAGGTAATCTGTGCTTTAAGGGTTTCCCCACAGCCCTACACTGTTTCAACATTTTAAAAAATTACTAAAACTCAATTCCTCTCATGCTTCCTGTTAAGTTGTGAATCTTCTTGCAGCGTGGGAAATAATTATTTGATCCTCTTCTGAATCCTCAGTCTCAGATATTTCATCTGAAGTAGTTTCATTTTTGCAGTGAGTCATACATAAAAGTTATAAACTGATTTGTGTGTCACTGAGTGAATTATGTATTTGGACCCCACACGGGTTTCTCATTACTTGGTGGAGAAACCCGTGTCAACAACCACAGCAGTAAAATGCTTCTTGTAGTTGTTCACTAGATTCTCACACACTCTAAGCTTCAGCTCCCACCACAGATTTTCAAAAACACTAAGGTCTGAAGACTGGCTAGACCA